CTCTGTATATATATATATATATATATATATGTGTGTGTGTGTATGTGTGCATGTATGTATGTATGTATGTATGTATGTATGTATGTATGTATGTATGTATGTATGGTTTACTCAATGAGGGACCCCAAATTTTTTTTTGCCCCGGGGCCCTTTACTGCCTAGTTACGCCACTGGTTACAATGAATGTATACTAATAAGAAATGAGTTTACTTACTTAAAGAGAACAATTAACAGTATTAAGTATATGTTATAAAGACTACAAATTTCTTGCAAAGACAAAATATTTAATAAATAGTAAAAATTAGTGTAAAATACACCAAAAAATCCAGTGTACTTATTTTAAGACAGTATTGTGTGGTGATGTATAAACGCGATATAAATTTTAACAAATAATTTCTGTATTGAAATCAAAACTGCCTTACAACACATACACTCCGTAGTGATGATAAACATAGTTTTTAATTAACCTCCTCAAAAAACGACTGTTGTAAGGTGAAGGAGGGTATATTCAGACACTTTCTGTAGGTAGAAGTATAATCACTTCTTTTTTAAAACCACCCCATGTTTAATGAGTAGAAAAGTCACGGAAACTTCAAAATTATGTGTTTTTCTATTGATAAAAAAAATAAAGCTGTTTTGAAGGTTTAATTTTTCAATATTAAGATTTTTTTTAAAACTTTAAAGTCGGGTGTACTCAGACTTATACATTAAATGTGGTGGGTTTACAAGGACACAGATAGCGGCAGTAGTTGGACAGCAAATAACCTTTTCTGCCTCTCTGAATTATTTTTCTTTATTTTTCGCCATAATGTCAGCATTTAAAATCTGAAATTACCATATAAAACACATAATAATTAGTTATGCATAAAAACTTGTCTCATAAACAATCAGTCTGAACAAGCCTTAAAAAAAATTTCCAGGTGAAGTTTGATTTACCTTCAGACAACTTGCTTTAGATCACCCTTGGAGACGAAAACACTGTACTTGATACTTTTTCGTATAGATTATAGTCCTAGCACACTTATAATTACTTTAATTAGATACAAAATGTGACTAAAGATTGTTAATAAGTTAAAAGATGTTTTGATGTTACGGCTGTCCGAGTAATCACAACACTCTAAAGTACAGGAAGCAGTACTCGGACACTGATAACTAACGTCCGACTACTACCGACTACGTAAAAAGTTGGAAGGTATCCGTGGACACACAATAATTTATAAATAAGTAACCATTTTTCGAGTATGATAAATAAAATTTATACTGTATTACTAAATGATGGGTAGAAAACAGTTTGCGAGCGAAACAAATACTTTTTTAATATCATTTCACGTAATTGTAAGCTTTCAGTAAGTCGTGAGTTTGCTCTCCCAGCTATAAATTTGTCATAAGTTCTTACATAAGTTCTTATATAATTTCTTATGTAACTTCTTATATAATTTCTTACATATGTTTTTATGTAAGTTCTCATATAAATTCTTTAAATAGAACTTATGTCAGAACTTGTACACGATCTTACATTTGCTTATCAACCGGGAACTTACATAAGATCTTACGTAATTTCTTATGTAAGTTCTTATTTAAGTTCTTAGAAGAGCTCGTGCATCAGTCGTTTAAACGTTTTTAATTACTATCTACATACATACAGAGTGAATTTTAAAAAATTTTCTGCATAAAAGCTGTTAAAATAGCTAATACAAATTAGTAAATACAAAAAAAATCATTTCTTACCTCCACTAAGGGGATTTGAACCTAGTCTGGGGAATCTCTAGACAAGTGTCTTACCCATTTGGCCAAAGTGGATTCGATACATGGGAAAGAATTGACGTCCTCATAAGGTACTTCAAAAACTGTTAATTTTCTTATTTTGTGGATAACATTTACCACCTTGGTTACCTCATTGGTTAATCAACATTTTATAAATGTACATATAACATTGTTTTAAGTCTGATAATGCGTTTCTCGACAATAAATCTAGTAATTGATTTTACAACTACTTTTCGATCAGGGATTTTATTTGAACTTGACTTGTACTTTTTATTCTGAGGGAAAAATAACCTATTTTTAAAAGTGTCATAAATTTATTGTAATTGTTACAACAACAAAGTTGAGGATTAACTTCTTCTCTTCAATACTTTAATGTCGGTATCGAAAACCAGCAGCAAAAATAGTTTCTCACTTATATAAACATTACTTAAAAGATTATATAAATTCTTAAAACATAAGTTACTACATGAAATAAAGTTTAAAAAAAAATTATTTGATTTAAATAAGAAGTGGAAAAACACGTTCCTTAACTAGTATCAAAGATTGTAAAAAGCAATAATTTGAGGACTCAATAACATCGATGTTAGTACCAGATGTACCTTATGAGGACGTCAATTCTTTCTCATGTATCGAATACACTCTGGCTAAGTGGGTAAGACACTTGACTAGGGATTCTCTGGATCAGGTTCAAACCCCCTTAGTGAAGGTAAGAGATGCTTTTTTTTGTATTTACTAATTTATATCAGCTATTCTAACAGCTTTTATGCAGAAAAAATTTTTAAGTTCACCATGTATGTATCTAGATAGTAATTGAATACTTTTAAACGACTGATACACGAAGTCTTATAAGAACTTACATAAGAACTGACATAAGAAATTACATAAGATCTTATGTAAGTTCTCGGTTGATAAGCATATGTAAGTTCTGACACAAGTTGTGATAAAAGAACTTATATGAAAACTTACGTAAGAACTAACATAAGAACTGACATAAGAAATTATATAAGAAATTACGCAAGAACTTATGTAAGACCTTATGACAAATTTTTAGCTGGAGCTCACACGAGTCAAGATTTCCCATTGAAACAGATTAATAAAAACCTCGGACAGCCAGCTTTAATTATCCTTTTAAACTAACTATTTTAAAAAATTAACAATCTGATAACTGATAATCATAAGTTATGCATTTAAAAATTTTATCTGAATGCTAATGTACATGGTTTTCAATATCTAAGTGATTACATTTATGCTTTATTGTAGCCTCCCCGATTGTACTCTCCAGTTTTGAAGTGTCCAGAGATACCCTCCTTTACCTTATAATGTCATCGGTTGGAACTCTTATTTCTATAAATTTTTTTTGCATTAGCTATCAGACTCGAAGAAATCTGAGTTTCTGGCAACGTAGGTATATACTTTTATAAAAAAATCTAGTATTCGCTTTTCGAAAATAGTATCCCTACTGATTGATATTTTGTAATCACAAATGTAGTTTCATCTGTATTTACACTTGTAAAGTCACTTGGAATTCCACATGGAATGCTACTTGGAATGACACTTGGAGTTTCCAATCCAAAATCCCATGTGGAATTCCAAGTAGAATTCCAAGTGACTTTACAAGTGTAAATACAGATGGAATTACATATGTGATTACAAAATATCAATCAGTAGGGATCATATTTAGAGTAGTAAAAAAAGTACTAAAAACGTCGTATCTTAAAAGAAAATCGGAGATGGAAGATGTTGTTAAATAATTTTAACGCATTTCTGAAAAAGGAATAAAGTATCAAGACATACGAATGGAGAGTGCTTAGTCAATATACAAACCCTATCACAAATTTCCAGTCGTTTTTTTTGCATCTTTTACAGACCGAGGAAAAAAAGGGATAATCACATCATACTTAAGGACATTCAGTAAATCAGTGGAAGTGTCTACTTCAGTAACATCGGCATCTCAATACATTTGTATCAATTATTAATTTCATAGCTAATGTTATGCAAAATGATGGTCGTATAAGAATGCCGAGGTGATTATAGCCTAAAACGTAACTGTAACAATCACGCGCTGAAACTGTCCAGCTTCAATTCTCAAAGAATTATAATAAATTTAGACTTAAACGGTTTCTCAGAGCAAAAGTTTTAAGGAATCCTTCATCATTTTGCATTAAATTAGCTGTAAAATTATTTATTTATAAAAACGTAAGGTAAAAGTGAATAACAACTATCAGTAACGTAGGAATTCCCGGTAATGAAACAAATGCCCTCAAAATATTTCATACAATACTGATCTCATCAATATGTGTATATATAT